TTACGCATTGCCTACTACCGAAATTTCACGAGCAAATGAAGCGTTGTGTTATTTTATTACTATTTCATCATACTGGAGTGATAATTAATACCAAAAGTTCCCTTCAAATGAATCAGCTTACACAACTGGCATTGTCCCATTTGGTTGGTGAAGGGAACTACCGTGTGATTATCAATAATTTCGATTCTCAGACAAATGTCTCAGGACTGAATGTCCTTATGTTACTGAAGATTAAAAAAATATCAAAAAGAATCAATTAATGAGCGATATAATCCAAGGACTTTCATTTCACTCCTAAATGGGTGATGGCTTGTTACGTAGGTTGGGAAGTACGAGCGTCGTTTGGGGCAGTATCCGGATTTCTACGGTGTGTCATAATGAAACACACCGCGGAAAGTAACTGATGTTATTGGTTGCCGTTTAATCACGACTGATCAATAAAACTTTAAGTGGATCGTTTTAGATAGGACTGACGTCTAGCTCACAAGACTCTGGTATCATTTTCAAGCTTGAAAATCAATAGGTTGGAGTACAATCTGAAGTCATGAGCCTCAAGTGTAAGCAGTGTAATCCTTTCTCGTTTTCCACCCTCAAAAGCTGCTCATTTGTTTTGTTTTGTATGGATGAAATGAAATGAAAACGAACAGGAGTTGAAGTGAAGCACTGATTGTGTCCGTCTTACCAATATAGAAGCGTGCCCTATCTGAATTTCGCTTGGATAGACAAAAAGAACGTTTCCCTCGATTTATTTCTTTTAAAATAGTATGCCAATGTTCACCCGAAAATTGCAGCTTTATAAACAGATTTCCTTAGTATCTGTTAGCTTAACAAATGACGGTGTGTTTTCACCCGGACAGAGTATTTTAGGACAACTCTGAGCATTCAGATAATAGGATGGTTAAATCCCAACTTACAAAGAAACGTGAATCTTTGCATGCCTGCCATCTTTACCAGGGGCATTCAAAGTACTGGTGTGCAAAAGCTACCGTGAATATCTTAATTCTGCCTTCTTCGAACCGGGTTCTGCTCAGAAAGCTGATGAGCTAGACCACACAAATGTTGACCTTTGGCACACATAAATTATTCAAAGTTGTGATTCAAACTTCTTTGCAATGATGTGACACTTCAGTTATGCAGACATATTAACCAGGCACCAAACGAATTGATCCGTCTCCCAGATCCCTCACCTAGGCCCTGAAGTTTGAACATGGCTGGCTAGAACTAAAATCTTTGCTCCGTGTTATAAGAAAAATTAACCCATTCGGCGTAGAGTTCTTGAGAACGACGGTTGGAGTCTGATGTTGGCCTGTGGACGAAAAACGATAGATACGGAACAAAACTTTAAGAACTGCTAAGCAACGACAGATCGATTAACATATAACCTACACTGAAGGTGCTATCTAACGCAAGAAAGTTTACTTGGATCAGGAAACAAAGTATAAAAACCAAAGAAACGGATAATTGCACGGCCTCTAACCAGATGGGAGATCACCAAATTCGGGGACTGTATTACAACTATGAACTCAGCGATGTGCGTTCAAATGGCTGACACTCAACCCGTTTACAGAGTCAAAACGTTTTTTTTTGTAAATTAACGGACTGCATTTCGAAAAGTCAAGCGCAGGAAAAGCGCCTTACTAGAAACTTTTTTTTGGCTATATCCCATAACTCGCTTCTGGCGAAGCACGCCTTTTTTGTATAGTGCTCACCAACAGTAAATTTATAGGAAGAAATTTAACAAATCACTAGAAAAGTCCCACTAATCTACAACTAAAAGGTTAAAAAAGCATTGTTCGCAAAAACGTAGAGATATAAAAATATTGCGCAATTTGACCTAGTTTATCAAGAAGCGTTTTTAGTGGAACCAATCAAACGAATGCCAGCATCTTTGACTTTCAAAGAGAACCTCCTCAAACGTACGTCGATGCGCAATTTGACCTAGTTTATCAAGAAGCATCTTTGACTTTCAAAGAGAATCTTCTCAAACGTACGTCGGTGTCTTTTGGCATGGAAACATCGTTGGCAATGTTGGTCAGCTTTGTGTTGGTCAACTAAAACTTGGAGAGAAGGTTAAAAGCCACCTCGCTAAAAGACAGAGGGATTTTTGTGGCTGCGCTGGTAAGCATGGATCCGCCTTTATGTGTGCTATTCACTTCATGTTCTTTCATAAAGCATTCGGGTATGTATCAAGAAAGTTTTGTTTGCATCCGAATGCATTTTGCTAAGTTCGAACGCAAGTAGGACTTAAGATTTCAAATGAAGGTTTTTGAAGGAATAAAATCCTTTCTCAGCAAAATAAGGAACAGAATTGGATTGCGAATAACCCATGCTTTAGTGCCAAAACTGGCACAAATTACATGAGAGTAGTATCGTGGGTGAAGATGAACAATTCAAAGTTGATAATATGACAACACATACGTCTGTGATATAGCCTATTGAAGAACACCATTAAAGTGTATTGCTATTTCAGCCTTAAAGGACAAACCGGATTTGTATAAAAGTCGTATATATTAAAAATTAACCAATGTGGCCAATGTAATTTGTGCAACTTCGGAAGGGATTGCACCGATTTTGCATTGGAAAACTGTAATTTAAAGAATAGCACGGTTTTACATTATCCAACCAAAATTCGTTTACTTTTGGGCACACTTACAAACTCGACGTTTGATGATGATTGAGGGCATGGCTCACGGAAAGAACTCACGCAACCCGTAATGATTGATGGAACCGTCCATTCAACGAAAGCACGGGATTTGTTTATGTGCTATGATCGATATAGAGCGTATATAGGGCGTAAACTTCGTTTTTACTCACAAAAACTTGATCTACTGTTCTTTTGCCAGGGGAGAATTCTTGTTTGAAGCAAATGTGCAGTACGCTTACTGAGATATTGATTAGACTTTTGGCTGTTGCTAGCTGTTTTTTCTCTAAGAAATTTTTGAGTTTGTATAGATTTCGTGTGTACATTTAATGGAGCAAACCTCAAACAGATTTAGTTTTGGTCACATACCATTAGGCATCACTTTTAGTCATTCTGTGTAGGCTGAAGAAATCTGTTAAATCTGACTTTCTGCGGCGTTTGTGTTACCAGGTTGCTGTATTTGTGTTGGAGGGGTCCATGATTGAATTATTTGTCCAGGTATGGAGTCGGTCTAAACAATCATTCAGCAATCAGGTTGAACTGAATATGACAGCAGAATAATGTACGAAAACACAACCAGCAAAAACAAATCGTATTTGCTGCCTGTTTTTAAATTAATATATGATTATAATGATGAAAATAGTTTTAAATGAATTTGATGGAAGTTAAGATGAAAGATGGTCGAAAAGTGCGTTTTGTGGCATTGCTGATGTTACGATTGCTGAACAGACAATTCACAGAGGACATTTCGATTTTAATGCTGCCGGTTGAGTCATCGCATCTGTTGGTCCCATATTTTGGCGAAAGAAAAATTTAGAAAGTTTTATCCTAAATTTTAGGACATCTCCGTATTTCGCCTGGAAAGGAGGGCACAAACGATACAGCCGCTACGGTGTTGATCGACTCCACTGAAATAGTAGAGAAAAGGAAACTCTAATTCAGTTACCCATCTGCCCCAACACAATGGTATTCTACGTAAAAACGTAGAAAAAACGTGGAAAAACTCCTGTTGTGTTGAAAAACAGGGGAAGCTGCAGCTACTGTTAGAGCATTTGTTCGTGCCGCTACAGTCCACTTGATATTTAAACCTATTGAAAGTTTGCTGCAAACGTGCAAGTTCTGCTTGTCCGCAAAATTCTACATTAAACTTCGGTCTACTTTGAGTGTGAGAAAATATTATATATCCATCGTTTGTGTTTCACCCTTGACCGTTGATTTTCTGAGAACAAATTTTTGAAATCCTTTCCCAATTTTGTAAATGTTTACATGTGCGTCTTTGGGTGCCATTTGTACCTGTCTTTTATAACTCTATTATATTTACTCCGGCCAGCATTATGGCACACTATTTGCATGCCTGCTTCAAGCACCAAAACGTTAGCAATATATCTGATACTGATTCCAAAAAGTGCAAGCCTGTTTGACTTAAGCTTTTGGCAAACTTGGTACAAGGAGATATAAATCAGCAGACATTTGCCAAGGTCAGTGAATACATTTACTTCGAATTAATAATTTCAAGGTCGAACCACTGAAAAATGCAACGCACACAGAGTTGAGTTTAAGGAAGACATTTAGTGACCCTTTTCATTTATCTCTTATCCATTCTGCTTGCACGGTTCGCTCTCATATAAACTTTGCTCCTCAGAGCATATAATTCCCCTTTGCATGCTCTCATTTTGTTTCGGCTCATTGGTCACTATTGTTGACGTCTGTATAAGTAAATCTGCAACCGTGCGTTTTGCGTTGAAAAAGAAGAGTTCAAACAGAACTTTTTACCGATCCGCTGGGTAACCAGGTCATTTTAAACATTAAAACACTCATGAATCCCCCGCTGCCATGATTATTTCATTGACTAAATACCTAAATCGTTGTGTTGCACATTTACCACAAGAAAATAAAAGTGTAGCAGTTGGTGATAACTCCAAAAGTAGACCTTACGGGGGAACAGATCTTTGTTTTTAACGCTAGCTGTTGGATTTGACAACAGAAAAATTGTGCATATCCGGTCAGTTGGCTGTGTATTATCCCTGTAGGACCAACTTAAGGATTAAATAAGCATTTTTTCAACGATATCGAAATAACTTTTAGCATAGTTTTGTTTGTACGATGAATGATTTGACTAACCAATTTGGTCGTTGCAGGGATAACAGCAGTGACAAATGAAAACCGTGCCTTCTCCATTGACTCAGTCGCCAATGTCTTTGCCGGGAGACTAGTTTCTGTGGACGTGATTAGCTCGAGAAATGAGGCAGTAAGTATCTTGCCGCCATGCATTCCATAAGATACTTTGTAAAATAATACCATTCCAGACGGATGGCTGCTTAGAGCCCATTACAGAATTGGTACATCTACTTTTACTCACCTGAAACTGCTGCAGGGGTGAATAACCCATTTGCCCTGCTCAACTTGTCGCCGTTTCTCTTTGAGAAGGGCGTTCTTACTCCCGAACAACTTCATCGCCAACTTGTTGTCCGAGGGTTGGAAAAACGCTTGAAACTGCTCTTTAAGATAGCTTGAAGTACTTTGTTTCGTAGATTCATTCCCTTGTTCAATGAAGTTACCATCTGCTAGTGCGGCAGCGGAATGTGATGGAAGGGGGAAACCACCCGTGGTTGTGGACTTTTCACGGCTTGATTCAGTGTTCTGAAAAGGGCGTGAGGTGCCGGAAGAATAGGGGACACTGAATGTAATCTCATCTGCTTGAACTTCTGAGATGCGGGGAAAACTTGTCTCTTGCCCGCCTGAGAGGTCATCAGCACTGGTATTTCGTCTCAGTGGCCTATCGTTCTTGTTGAAGTTATCCCTGAATGTCACAGCCCTTGTGGACTGAGGTGCCGACATGTTGACCGTGTTTGCCTGTCGACGACAACGAGGAAGCAGACCGAGCCCGCTGTCAGTTGCAGTTGAATGCATGCGTCGGATCATGTGTTGCTTATTTCGTTTTTGCCGGGCACCCTCCGATCGATCGTTTATAATTCCAGTGGTTGTACGTGGTGTGTATGAATGGCTGTTGAAAGGTAGAGATTCTTCAGACTGTGTGCTTTCAAATGATGGTTTATCATTGTCAAACGTCCAGTCGACATGGTCACCGTCTACTGTCTTGTTTACAGTTTCTTTCGGCGTCTCAACCGGCATTTTGTATCTTCCCTGCTTGACCGGACGATTGCCTGTTGATCGCATAGCGCTCCAATTCATGAGTAAACGTTTTATTAAACATCTGTGTGTTGGACTCCATTGAATTCCAACAAGAGTGTATAGACTGTATTGGGTCGAATTAGCAGCATGTTTACTTTGACCTTTCTCTGCTTGCCAACTTGTTCTTTGTCATGTACCTCACATATTGGGGGGCACTTCCTGAGTTTGATAAGACGGATGCAACTCAGCAGAGATGATTTTTAGCAAATGTGTTTTAGGAAACTTCTTATATTCCGAAGATATATAGTTTCCATTCCAGGAGTGGGCATTGCAATGATCGAATGAAATCACATATCGGTTGACAATCAAAGACGATTGCTAAAAATGAAAAGTTACTCTGATTTTGTATCGTTTTCCTGAGAATCTGCACTCCAAAAATTGGTCACCATGGGCCAAGATATGATGTGTGCACAATGAAACGTGAAGGTTTGAAGAGCAACCCTTTTATTTCTTGTAGCTAGATAATCTTTTCCACTGTTTACGAACAATTTGCATTCCAGCCTCCTATTGGTTTACGAATTTCATCTAGGCGATTGGACGATGTCAGTGAACGTAGGCAGGTGAATCTTAAATTTTCGTGTGGAAAAAATACTTATTTAGACAGTAACGGTTGCATTTTTGTGGAGATCTCATTTCTGAGACATTAACCTAATGGATAGTGGCGCGACTCCTTTCCAACCTACATTTTCAGTCCAATAGTCAGTTCACAGATAGTATTTATCTAGACAAAGCATCCAACCATGTCTGCCAACAAGGTTCTGCCAAACCATGTCTCACCTAAACCTCCACTAGATAAATGCTGGTGTGACTTAGAAGAAATTAAAAATCCTTCAGTTGTTCCACCGACAGAATCAATTACCGGAAAACATTTTACGATTTCTATCATCGGTTTCTACAATAAGTGATACCACATATATTACCAAAGAGCTATGGTACAACGAGCTGCGTAGAAGAGGAAGCGATCGCCCAGGAAAATTTTTATAAAGTATTGTTTTACCATAAAACCAAAACAGATTTGTCACTTTGCGAGTGAAAACGAGAGCCGGAAATTCGCCTTGGTTAGTGGGTTTTATACGTTTCACTATTTTTGGAGCACTCGCTGCGTACTCGAGCTAAATTTTTATTAAGTGCTTGGCACTTCTAATGCACCAGAATAGCTTGAGTTTGTCATTCTCATCGCCAGGTTTCTGACTACCTCCGATTATTATGCAGTTCAGCTTCATTAATGAATGTAAAGTTGGTTCACATTTCCGTACGAGGATTTGCATTGATTTGTGTTTCTGCATTTCGCAAAAGACTATCTGTGAGCTTATTATTCCATATATGGTTTCAGTTCATCCATGGTGTCATCTATATCGTCGATCTTCTCCGTCTTCCTTCCTTACTGCCTTTCTAAGTAAGATAACAAAGCCAACATCGTCAAGTTCGTTACTAGCCTTCAAAAATATATTACATGCGAACTCGGCAAGCCAAAAAACCTATCAAGCTGCTCTTTAATGCCTAGTCGGTGCACGCTGCATGTGCCAGCTAAACATGTGGATGGATTTTCATAAAGGTAACTACTCGCAAAGTTGCTGAGATCTCTTCGACAGCCCACGACCGGTTCCGTTCTTCTTGGGGCTCGTCAGTTAGGCGAAGTCCTCGAGTCTCCGTCAACCTTATGTTCTACTTGAACACAAATCGGTTGCTTCCGGTTAATACACATATTTGCAAATCAATTTGGTTTTCATGAGGGACACAGCTGAATTGCTCGTTTACAATATTCTTCAACTGAATGTGCTACACAGTTGAGTCTCCCATGAAGACCAAGTTGACTTGCAAATGCGTGTATTTGTCGAAATCAGGCTGATTTGCTTGCAAGTAGGACATAAGGTTGATGGAAAGTTAGGGAATACGCCTACCTGCTGAGCTTCAAGAAGACCGAAGCCGGTCGTGGGTTGTCGGAACTTTTTCATCAGACTTGTGAGCAGTTTCCTTTAGGAAAGTTCATTGATATCGAGGAAACTAAAACTTGAAAGGCCCTTTGCAGCACAATCAGCTGAAGAATATCATAAATGGGATATTCAGTTAAGTCTCCCGTGAAAACCAAATATTCATTGATGGTTAATTAAAGGTGACCCACGAAGGGCAGCCTACAGCCAGGACAGCATTGATGTTATGTACAGTCTTAGAATACTCAGAGTCTACCTGCCAATAATGTCTGCAAAAACGACATTTTTCTATTAGGAGCATTATTTATCATGGAAGTTGGATTGTTTGGCTGCAGTGAGCCGGGATGAAGAAGGACATTGAGCACAGTCGTACTAGTCTTTTTACTGTTAACAATCTTTGACTATTAGGGACGCTACATGACTTTTCACTCGCTGTCTGCTGAAAGCCCCCACATCGAAAATGTGCATCTCAAATAGTGTATCCAAGAATCGCAATGGCAGATAAACGATAAATTATTTTTCCTGACGTTCACACAGGAATAGGTTTCCTATTGAAAATTATTGTGAACAGATTCTGTCCAATGCAACCGTCACTTTTCCAATGAAAGGCAGGTTTTCAAAAGTTTATGTGAATAATGTTGGCATAGGGAACGTAGGAGTTTCAACGTTTTAGAATGGATCTATTCATTGTCAGGCTGAAAGGTAACTTTCTTCCGCTGACCTGTTTTCAAATACAAGGTTGTAAGTGTTAATGCTCTANATAGTATTTATCTAGACAAAGCATCCAACCATGTCTGCCAACAAGGTTCTGCCAAACCATGTCTCACCTAAACCTCCACTAGATAAATGCTGGTGTGACTTAGAAGAAATTAAAAATCCTTCAGTTGTTCCACCGACAGAATCAATTACCGGAAAACATTTTACGATTTCTATAATCTGTTTCTAAAATAAGTGATACCACATATATTACCAAAGAGCTATGGTACAACGAGCTGCGTAGAAGAGGAAGCGATCGCCCAGGAAAATTTTTATAAAGTATTGTTTTACCATAAAACCAAAACAGATTTGTCACTTTGCGAGTGAAAACGAGAGCCGGAAATTCGCCTTGGTTAGTGGGTTTTATACGTTTCACTATTTTTGGAGCACTCGCTGCGTACTCGAGCTAAATTTTTATTAAGTGCTTGGCACTTCTAATGCACCAGAATAGCTTGAGTTTGTCATTCTCATCGCCAGGTTTCTGACTACCTCCGATTATTATGCAGTTCAGCTTCATTAATGAATGTAAAGTTGGTTCACATTTCC